GAAGCTTTCACTTCAGCCAAAAAAATGAGGTATTATGCCAAGGCACACCATGTTTTATTTTTTTGTAAAAATAAAAACAACATATTCCCTTGGTTTTTAATAAAATCGAGGGGAAAAACAAATCAAGACACGCTTCAAATCCCAACTATTGCAGTTTATGTTTTTATTCTTTATAAGTGAATACTAAATGATATATCCCTTCGATTTAGTTAAAAACCGAGGGATAACATAATCATATTTTACTATAAAAACACTCGTTAAACAAATTAAACCCTAATCCTTACGTTTATGAAGCTACCCCAAACTAGTACACATCATTCTTTGGGATGGATTGCAAGATAGGAAAAATCTTCAATGTTCTGTCATCCTCGAATAAAACATTTTTTTGTCCTTAGAATTCATCTCACATAATGGTGTTGGTGTTGTATTTTGGAACAACTCTCTGTTAAAGAATTTTGAAAAAGTTCCCTATGATAGATTACAAGTGCATAAATAATTCATGCTTCCAGGTTAAACAAAGAAGTTTGTTCAACCTTTGAAAAGATATATGCAACAAAATCTGGAATTGCAGCGACGATGATGAATATGGATTTTTTTAAATATTTTGTGTAAAAAATGTAATATTTAAAAAATGATATTATTCACCTCGTTTTTATTCTAAAACTGATGGGCTTTTTAATTTTATTTTATTTTTCTATTTAAAATAGAAAATACGTTTCCCCTCATTTTTTTTAAAACCAGGGTAACATGTTACACAACTACAATGATGAATCTCTACACTAGATTCTTAAAGGAACAACGCTCATTATATTACTAAGACATCAATCCATAACAAAATATCTACATCCACCACTATATATATATATATATATATATATATATATATATATATATATATATATATATATATATATATATATATATATATATATATATATATATATATATATATATATATATATATATATATATATATATATATATATATATATATATATATATATATATATATATATATATATATATATATATATATATATATATATATATATTTCTTGTGAAAGCTTTACCCTTGATAAAATTAGCTTAGATAATGATATTATGGAACTTTAAAAAACTCGGAAAAATTTTCAATGATGGATTGTAAGTGCAGAAAAAACATTTACAATATTTGAAACTGATATTTCCACTTGGGGAAGATAGCTCTTTAGAAATTGATTGCATGCAATCCATTGAACTTTAAAATAATGAGCATAAAATGTATCTAATATGATTTTCCTTAGAGCAAAGATGTGTTATTTTCCAAGAACAACATCTACTATGATAACACTGTATTTGTTGTATTTATGTAATCAATATTATGTGTAAACAATGTAACATTAAAAAAAACTTATACACCTTTTACCTCAGTTTTTGACAGAAATCGATGAAATAATTTTGGCATGATTATTGAGCATATGTATCACTGTCCTTAAACAAATTTGTGTCGTCCATTTCATGAGTACAATTCCTCGAGACAATTCCATCAGTGATCCGCGTGAAACCTAACAGAAATCCATTAAAAAAACATTATGAATATCAATAATTGTTAATGAACCATAACATGAAAACTCAGAAGCATAAAAAACTCAATAAAGTTCTCTACGATGGATTGCAAGAAAAGAAAATAAATTGTGTTTAAGGTTTTGTGCTCTTCAGTAATCAATTTTTTTATAGTGTTCTTCAATCATATATTCATTCACTTAACTAACCATTTTCTTATTTTACATCAAAAACAAATAAATGCAAAAGGGATCTAAAATATATTACACCCAACATTTTCTCCTGCCCAACATTTCAATGAAACGGGGATCCAACATTTGATCTTCACCAACAATGATGATGATGAATCAGATTCCAAATTTGTTATATATGTTTACAAAAATATTATGTTAAATAATGTAATATCATGAGTAAGCAATTAATTTATTAATATTCTGTAGTTTTAACGAGATTAAAAATATATCAATCGGTGTTATTGATAAATCGAGAGGTTTGATGTGCTAGTTTTGAAAATATTAAAATTGTAGTGGATGGGATTCAAACCCATGAACATACACATTTTCCCTTTGGTGTTTTAAAAACTGAGGTGTTAAGTTGATACTTTTCATGACGCCCATCGTTACCTCGCTTCTTTAGTCGGGGTTTAATGCATTTCACGTTCGAGGTTAAATGCTCTTTTTGTAATAATGGTGGAAGCCTTTGAAATTGCATCTTGGGTAGGTCTTTCATTGCTGCGTTGGACACTGTTGCTTCAACTATGCACCTCAAATTAAAGTACCATAACCTTCACGGTGAACAGGTCGTTTTACCCACCGACTTTGAAGCAGCCAAAAAGATACACTGCACATTCCAATGGGATCAAGGAGTTAATTACTCCATGGAGATAAATGTGACTTCTATTATGGGGCAACTTCAAAAGTTGGAAATCCAAACTCCCAAACATGGCTAAGCAGAGGAAATCCCACTACAAGAAATAATTAGTGGGATACCCGCTTGGTTATGTTTTGTTTTATTCCATTATCACATTCGTATATGAAATTTTTAATGCATAAACTTGGATGTATCCTAAGCTTACGATTCTCCATTATCATACAGTGGGGGAAATGACTTTTAGGTTTTACATTTTATCACAAATGTTGCGGATAGCAAGAGTCGCCACCAACTTTTCTTTTATTCAATAAAGGAAAGGGTGAAAAGAACAGGAAAAACCTTTGAGAATTTTCTGAGTAAGGGGGGTAGGTTATGAAAAGGGAAGGTGTTAGCACCCTTTTCATCCGTAGTTATCTACGGGCTCTTAATCGCTAGCCTATTTTTTGAAATGCTTTGTGTTTGTGTATGTTTGAAAATATTTTAAAAATGCCTATGTGCGGAAATTTTTGTAATGATTCTCGTATCGTTTAGAATGGATACAAAATGTTTGTTTTAAAAATATTTATTGAAAGAAAGTGTTGTTTTATGAAAAGATGTTTTGAAAATTCCAATGTAAGGAAGTTTGCTTTATAATAACCCTTGTATCAGTCCTCAAGAGTGTTTATAAAGCGCTTTGAAAGTAGTTATTTTGAAAGTGTGAGGTGTGAAAATTGTTTTAGTTTGTGAGAAAGCGATTAAGAACTATCTACCTATTCAAAAAGTATTTGTTCTTTTACTCCTCCTTTAGATAATGCTATCTTACCATTAGTTAGCAGGAAGCCCAATCGTTGGATGTGAGGGACATGTGTGGGTCATTGTACAGTCATAGAAGGTAACTTATAGGGCGCTTTAGCAATTATTGTAAGGGACTAAGATCGTTTACTGAAGGCAAGATCAAAGGGTCATCGAGGGACTACGATCTTTTAACCGAGGGTCTTTACTAAAGCGTCACACATTCGAGGGACATGACTGTTTTATCCGAAGGCAACAAGTGAGGGTCACCCTAGAGGGAGTTTGTGAATAGTATTTTGATTTCAGTTAATTTGTCTTGATCAGGGTTATCTAGCGATTGATTTTAAATCTTTCCATACAATCTTATTAAACTAGTAGTAATAAGGAAAGCTGTAAGTAGTTACAATAATCGAAAAAAACGATAATAGTAAACTGCAGGAAAATAAAAAAAGAAAAGGAAATTGTTGTGATTTTATCAAGTAAAGAAATTAAATCAAATAAGAGCTATGAACGAAGATTCAAGAATTAAAATTCTAAATAATATTTTTGGTATTTTTGTTTGTGAGAAAATTTGAAAAGAAAATAAAACCTATTCTATTAAAGAAAAGAAAATAATTGATTAAAATAAAAGAAATTAAATTATATATATATATATATATATATATATATATATATATATATATATATATATATATATATATATATATATATATATATATATATATATATTCATCTTATCATGTGGAGATGAATTAAAAGAAAATTACTAAAAGAAAATTTAGCAACATAAAATAAGTAAACATAAGGAGGGTGTAAAAATATGGATAGATGGTAAAGTAGTAAAGGGGCGCTGGGCCCACCAACAAGGGTCCAAGAACAACTTTTGTTCTTTGCTGAAGCTAATGGGAAATAAAACTCAAATGTAGGCCAACTACTGTTGAGGCCCACCCGAAATCACAAAGGGAAAGAAGAAGGTTGAAAAAAAACTAGCACACTTGCAGCGGCTACCCAGATTCCCAAACAACCATCATTAATTATTCCAATTAAAATTTGTTATTGGAAATTGGAAATAATCAAAACTTTGATGAGGAAGCATGCATCAGTACTCCGTTTCTCTCTCACAAATTCACCGGAAAAAAAAAACACCTATCGATTTTCTATCATCTTCTCTTGGTTCTCTCGGTTATACTCCTAAAGCCATAGTCAATTCTCTATCCTTCTCAAATCTCAACCAAACAAAACACAACCTCGCTCGGTTTTCTTTTCTTCACAAAATGAAACCCCGTCTCAAACGAAAATCTCTCTATTTTCCAAATCAAAACTAAACTAAACCCTAACATTTATAAAAACCGATCGAATAGAGTTAGTAGAGAGCTGAATATAACAACCAGAGGCCGTATAATGTCAAAGCAAGGTGAAATTACCTTTGAGACAGAGATTTGTCTCGGTTCTTGTTGTAGTCAATGGTGGAGGGAAAAGGAAATGAAAACCAGAGGCATATCGAGGCTGTAATGTCCAAGTAAGAAAAATATTTGATCTAATGAGTAATACCCTTCGACTATCTTCCGTCCGAGACTTTTGCTTCTATTTCTTCTCTATTTCTCTAGGTTTTCGAAATTTTTTGTTGTTGTTGTTGTTGTTCGTAGCCTGACCGTGTGAAGCGGTGGTATTGTTGAGTCTGTTCGAAATCATGAACAAGTTAAAATGTTGTTGTTTCTATATGAACCGTGGAATTTGATACAAGTTGGAGGAAGCAATTTCAATAACACATCTTTTTCTGTCCGTTTCTGTTGAACACCTCCTTTTTTCTCTCCGTATTATTGTGTTTCTACAGAAAATTTTCCTCTGTGTATAGTTAGGATCGTGTGTTTGTGTTGTGGGTTATGTTCTGTTTCACTGTGGTTCGTGGAGAAGTGAAGGGTTAAAGTTGAGATGTAGTAAAGGTGATGGAAGAGTGGATTTGAGTAGAATGTAGGCAATTTTGAGATGGATTTTGTGGTGGATGGTGTTTCTGAGTAAGGTTGAGATGAATGATGATTGTGAGGTTTTATAAAATCCATGAAGAATTTTGTTTGTGAGTGTTTTTGTAGAGTTTTTAGGTAAGTTTTCTGGTGTGGTAGAGAGTGAAAGAGAGATTTTTTGTGACTTTTTCTTCTGCCCCCCCTTTATCTTGGAAATTTTCTACTCTTTTATCCTGTTCAAAGAGTGGGTAATTGGAATTGATGTACTGTTTTTATTGATTTATCAATGCAGGCTTTGTTTGGTTCATTTTTATGAAAGTTTTGTTGTTTTGTAGGACTGTTTTTCTATGTATATGAAAGCAAGAGTAGGGCTGTTTTTGTGCATTTTTTGGACTGGTTATGGGTAGGGGCAGCAGCAGGTCTTGGGCTATTTGTGACAGGTTTGGTAGGGCTTTGTAATGGACTATTATGGGCAGGTTTGCAGGTTGGTTTGTAGTGGTTTAGGGCATAATTTTTGCAGGTTTTGGAGCATGTGGACAATAATGCTTTTGTTTGTTTTGTGCAAGGTTTAGAGAAGGAAAAAGTTATCAAATTGCAAAAGTGGATTAGTCATTCAAAAAGGCAATCAAGGCTTGGTGGTTTAGATTAGGACTTAGGAAAATTGGACATGCTTGTAGTAATGTTTTGACTCTTTGCTCCAAAGTAATGTAAAATAGAACTTGTAAGCTTGTATGAAAACTTGGATGACATTGACATTTTGAATAAAACTTGTAGGTTTGGGAGGATTGACATGAAAACTCTTGTGACATTGTAGACTTGGTGATAGAAAAATAGGCATATAAGTATTGAAATTCTTGTGATGTAATTTGGGAATAAACTTGAATGGAATTGAGTGAATCTTATAATGAGCATGATGTTTGAATGTTATTTACTTGATACTTGAATAAAGTCAATGAGTGTAGTTTGGTGGAACTTCATGGGACTTTCAAAATTCAAGCATTCCATGTTTCTTTCAATTTCCAATTTGTTTTAGCTTTCCAAGGTTCGAATTCAACATTTGTATATTATCTCACGGTTTCATAAGAACTTGTACTCAAAACAAACTTGTATGTCGCGCCCGACTCAAATGAACATTAGTTGCCAATCTTGAATTCAACCTCTTGCGTGAAGTTAAAAAGCATAACTTGTACCATAAGCAATTGTTCTCAAATCCTTGTATCTCAAGCAATGGTTGATTGGAGAAAGCATCCTTGAATTCATGTCTCATATCTTAACCAATGTCTTGTAACTCAGGCAACTAGATGCAGGCTCTTATCATAAGAACATTCAATGAAACCTTATCCATGATGTGCATTGAGTGATGATCTTGGTCGAAGCCCTAATCAAAACTGATGAATGCAAGCATAAGAGAGTGTATCTTGACCCATGAACCAAAGAAGAATCTTCTTCTCTCTATTACAGCCCTTTATAAGAATTATAGTTAAATAACTTATATTTCAAGTATTTTATGGAATATCTCAAGCAAGCTCAAACCCAAATTATGAAGAAAGGGTCCCATGATGATAGAGGGACAAAATCCTAATTCAAACAATCTCAGCCGAAATATCTTGGTGAAACCCTCAAAACCCTAGCTTCAAAATCCAATTCTCATAAGAAATAAATTGTTTCACCCTAAAATTTTCCCTCTCAACTATCAAGAATTTTCTCATAAGATCTCCCTAGGCTCAAGACTGCACTAGGGTTTGATCAACTCAAGACACCTCCTTATGCACTGATGACCAAAATTAGGGGTTGAGTTTGCACAAAGATTTTTGGACTATCAATGCTTCATATGACTTTCATGGACCATTATGGACCCCCAAGATCACTCATGTCAATTTTCAAGCCTTGGATCACACTTTTGATCAATCAATTGAACAATTGACCTAAAAATCAACTGTATTGGGGAAAAGTCAACCATAACCAATTTACAGTCAAACTTCATAATTTTTGATCCAAATCAACATTTTAGACTCATATATATCATTTGATCAAGTTTGGACCATAATTCCTCAAGAAATTTGATCAAATCTTCAAAAGGGCAAAATGGTCAAAATGGTCAAAATTAGGGTTTTAACAGGGGAAAAGGCAATTTCTAATTTTTTTGACCTAGCAAATGATCAATTGGTTTAAGACATGATTTCAAGAGTCCAAGTGCACCATTTTGACCTAATGACTTTGTTATACCCCAAAATTTGCCCTCCCATATTTTTCAACAAATGTCATGTGAAGTCCCCAAACTACTCAAGGAATTTCAAAAATTGACTAGACAAACTCTATCCTAAGGTAGTCTACCTCAAATTAGGGTTTCATTTTTCATCAATATGCTTGAGTCCAAAGGATCCCAAATGCCTTCCATTGTCCTAATATATTCCCAAGATCATCCATGTCAAGTTTCAAGTCTTGCAGAAGAAGTTTGCTCAGTCAATTGCTCAAATGCCTGAAAATCGACTGTGCTAGGTCAAAAGTGAACTGTGGCCCACATACAGTCAAACTTCAAGATTTTTGGTCAACATCCTCATTTTTAAGTATCATTCATCATTTGATCAAGGGTTGATCATGATTCATCAAGGATTGCTCATAATTCATTAAAACCCAAAAGTTGCCAAATTAGGGTTTTGTAGGAAAAGTCAACTCAACTTTGACCAAGCATAACTTTCTCATAATTCATCAGAAATGACCCATCCAAAGTTAATTTTGAAGGGGATGCAATTCTATACAATTAATCTTCATCCCCCAAGTTCAAGATACGCACTCACAGGAAGATATGAGTTTTGACATTATAGGTCATTTTGAAAAGTCAACAAAAACACCTTTTGGGTCAAAGCTTCATACATGAACATGGGAGACTCAATTGAGATGAGACCAAAAAGGTTGCTTAGGGGACATCCTAGGCTTTCTAAAAAGTCAAAGAACACCTTTCTAGGATCATAATTGAAAGAGATATACATTGTCAAAGTTGGCAATTTTTGGGAAATTGTCAAAAGTCAACATTGATCAAAATTGCATTTTTTCCACATGGGCCCATCTTTTCAAGATTGCATCTCATTCCTAGCATAGTCCACGACCTATGGGACCCTCCATTCTTAATTTATTTATTTATCTAATTTATTTTGATTTTTATTCATTTAAAAGTCAAATAAAATCAAATAAATCCAAATAAATCATATAATGTGTTTTAGGGATGATTTTTGCATTGAAGGAAGATATTATGTGCTGTCAAATGAAAACCAATTCGTGCAAGACTTATTTGGGTTGAAAAAGATTGGATTGAAGCAAATTTGGAAAGATATCATATGTCATGAAAGACCAAATCAAATATTCATAATGGGCAAGATTCAATTGGTTTTTTTTGGACCTAATATGTTGCATTACATATACAGAAGGTATCCAAGGCAGAGAAAGAGGTTGAGCAGTCGTGAAAGAGGCAGAACCAATTACAAAATTTCAAAGAAAAAAGGGCAGATCGAATTCTAAGTTACAGGCCATCTCAATCCCTCCTAACCTTACCAATCGATTGCTGGACGTCTCAGGAACGTGTTGCAATCACTAGCAAGCCTCCTCACGTCCTAAAGCATCTTTTTAAGAGCATCACAGTTTGCCCTGTTTCTTGAAATTCGATTAGCATGATTTATGCGTTATGAATAAATTTTGATCATGTATTTTTGTTTGTTATCATGTTTACAATGTATTGGCATGCTTTGATTGAAGTTTGAGTACAGATATGGGCATCTGCCATTCCTAGGGTTCCAAGATTGTTTTTGGGGCTTCTTAGTACATGTCAAAATAGGGATGGATATGGATACCATGATGATCAGAGCTTCAAGCCTAGTTGATTCATGGCCTCCAATGAAATTTATATCATGTTTGCTGCATTTTAGAAGTTGACAGGGTTTTAGCTACGGAGTCCCGTCTATAGGTAAAAGGCTGGTTACCTAAGACGACGGTTGGGAGGAGGAAGATGATGCGTGGCGCTCCCTGGTTGGGCAGTTTGAACTTTAGCGCGTTTTTTCCAATAGCCATTATTTTTCATATATATTAGTTTTTTTTTAATTATATATACAAATAACAATTGCAGCTCAGTTGGCAAGCGTACATTGGCAATATGCACAAGGACCTAGGTTCGATCCCCAAGTCCCAACCTTTCTTTGCATTATTTTGTACCATGCGATCAGGTGTACTGCTCATCAGGAGGTTCACCGTATGTCCTCAAGATCTGGCCATCAAATTCATCAGCGCTCCAAATCCAATGCCTTTCCGTTGGAGGATTACCATGCGCCTCAAGTCAACCCACACACCAGATCCAGCAAAGTCAAAATGGGCCATCAACCTTGGGCCCAGGAATTCAATTGACCCCCTTTCAACAACAACACCAGGCTCATTTACTTCTTTTTTTATTTCTTTTCTTTATTTTTTTTATTCTTTTAATTTTATTTATTTATTTTAATTCACAAATTAATTATTTTTCATAAAAAAAATCATAAAATCAATAATTAAAAAAAAATTAGAATTAGACTTTTTATTTTAACTTGTTTTTAATGTAATTTAGTTTAACTTAGGAAAATTGAAATTTATTTTCATAAATAAAATCAAAATAGAAATTATGTTAAAAAATCTTGATTTAATTTTATTTTCTCTTTTTTCAAATAAATAAAAATACAAAATAGGTTTTTGAATAAATTAATTTATTTTTCCTAATTTAAAATCAATTAGAATTAGGATTTTCTTTTAATGATTTCTTTATTTTCTTAAAATAACAAAACAAAAAAAGAACTGTTTTTAATCAATCGCAATTAGGTTTAGTCAAGTGTCAAAACCCTAGTTGTTTCGTATTTGATCCATCGCGCGCGGGTTATTTATTTTTGCTATTTTTTCTGTAACTGTTCATGGTTTGTAATAGTTTAATCTAGGAATTTTTACTTATCGCTTTTTCCCAGGTTTTTGGCTATGTAATTAATCCCCTTCCCCGAAGCCTTGTAATAGCGTAGATTTACTTTCTCGCTTTTTAATTTCTGCAATTATTAATTGTTAGATGAATGCTAATAGGATTGTATGGCAAG